AGAAACGTTTGAAATGGTCCTACAATGACGTGCTGCGTCTCATACACGAATACGAGAAACACGACGCCACAGATTCCGTGTTGGAGAAGCTCGGCGACGAAGCGCTAGGCCAGGAGCCAGGCCACGAGGAGGGCGATGAGGAGGGCGGGGAGGAGGAGGAGGAGGAGGTGCACGAGGAGCACGAGGAGGACGAAGAGCAAGAGGAGGCCTCGTGGGCCGAGGCTCTTGCGGAACAGTGCGATGCCGCAGTTGCGGCACCTGGGCCTCAAGGATCCTCGGTATCCATGGACTGCGTGGTCGACGCAGAGGCGGCCGAGCAGGTGGCAGTGGCGACGTCCTTGGCAGAAACGCTCCGCGAGGCGGAAGATATGCTGCGCCAAGTGGGCATGGAGAAACTAGCGCAGGATTGCCGACAGCAACGACACAAACAAAAGAAGCGGTTGAGAGAGCTGGCGCGGGAGGACAACGAGGTCCTACGAGCGTTGACTGCCCAGCGAGACCACGAAGCCGCAGTGGTGGCGAAAAAGCGGCGCCTGGCTCTGGAAGCGAACGACAGGACGAAGGCGTTGCACGATCTCAAGAAGCAGATTCGAGAGGCCGAGGCCGCCTTGAGGGCAAAGAAGGAGGCCGCAGTTGCGGTGGAAACGGCTTTGGCTAACAAACACGCCCTAGCGCAGTGGAATCCCGAGGAGTTCAAGATCAAGAAAAACAGGATGGCAGCTCTGGATCGCCTGGCTCGCGGAAAAGGCGTCCTCTCAGACGAGCAGAGGGGGGAGTGGGCATGGTTCAAGACGCATTGGGACGAGGAGATGTGCAAGCAGCACAAGGAGCAATGGCCGCTCACGTTTGCTGGGTGGCTGCAAAAAGTCGCGAACGACGCGGCGTCTGGGAACCGTTCGGCGCTGTCGCAGTTCGTGCATTCGGAAACAGTGAGAACCCTGGGAGGGCAAATGGCGCTGGTAATCCCAGCCCTAGCGTGATGCAGGCCGCAGTTGCGGACCCACAGGAAGTCCAGAGGGAAGTTGTTTTTCCAAGCGGCTCCCGCGCGGGCAGGAGATGAGGCAAAACCGCAGTTGCGGTCTTCCTGCTGCTGTGAAAATAATCCTTTCACAGTCCCTTGCAATCGTCGCCCTCCTTCTGCTTCTCCGCCAGTCCATTTGTTGTTCTTTCGGTTCCTTTGAGTCCTCGCCCTCCTTCTGCCACTCCTCGAATCCTCTTTGTCTCCTCCCTCCATCCGACCCCATGCCCATTCACGATCCATTTCCGTAGCCACCGTGGCTCGAGGTGGCGCACGCGAAGACGCAAGCATGTGGCCGCCCGCGCGCCCGAGCGCATCCTCAGGGAGTATGGACCGTGGACCTCGATTCGCCAGAACGGTGTTCATCCACAACGCTGAGGAGGAGGAGGGAGGCAAAGACGAGGAAGCCGCAGTTGCGGATGATGACGACGACCAGCGGACGCAAGATGGCGACAGCACCGTCGCGTCCTCGGCTGCCTCCGCTGACGAGGCTGAGTCCCAGGGAGGTGCGGGAGCCGCAGTTGCGGCAGCACATGACTCCTACATGCCGAGAGTGTTGTCGTCGCGGAGACCCTGGAAACGGGTGCCCATCATCGAGACAAGCAATCTGTCGGAAAAACAAAGAGCTCTTGTCGACGCATGGGAGGAGAAAACGGAGTTCGAAGCGGGACGGGTCGGCTTCTACGTGGCCAACTTCGGAGGGACTGCAGCTAGACCCACGCAACGCGCGGACGAGTGGGCGCAGCTCCGCGCGAACCCTGCCCAGATCATCGCCCTCTGCGAGTGCGACGACGAGACCTGCGCGGTACTCAGTGGGGAGCACGACGCGAGGGACAGTGCAGCCGCAGTTGCGGACGATAGGTTTCGGAGTCGGACTCAATACAACTACCTGTGCGTTAAGGGCGGCGAGCCATCAGGGACCCTCCTTGTTGGCATGAGGGACCGCAGTGGCGGCCACATTGAACACGTAGACTTTGCGAGACTCTTCCACAAGCAGGAGAAGTCCAAAACGAAGAAGAAGAAGAAACAGTCCGCAGTTGCGGAGGCTCCTGCGCCAAAGCTGCACAACAAGTACTCCAGGGCGATGGTGGTGCGCGTCCACCTGGACCAGGCCGTGCCCCATTTGGGGGGCTCCTTCAACGTCATGGCGGTGCACGTCCACCACAGCTTGGCCAACCAAGACTGGGGCGTCACGAAGCTCCATGAGTTCTACAACTGGTTCGTCGCCTACGTCAGGGAATGGGACGTGAAGGTCTGCATGGGGGACTTCAACATGTGCATGTTCCAGCTTGTGTCCTGGTGCCGCAATTGCGGCCTGACTGTGGACGTCGCCGCGTGGACCCCCTGGAAGACAGCAGGCGGCCAGCCCAGGGCAGACAGCATGGCGATTTTGTTCATAAACTGTCCTGGGCAGTACAAGCTTCACCATGGCCTGAGTGTTCTGCACGACCGTGAGGGCGGATTCTTGACGACCCAGCATGATCCGTCTTTCCCTGTCTTCGACTACACGAATGGCCCTGGGAAGATGCTTCAGACTTACGTGCCCAAGGCTGAGCCCGTTGAAAACAAGATGCGCGCCTTCCTGACGCCATCTGGCGAATCCTTGACCGCAGTTGCGGAGTTCGAGCAAAGGATGGCGCGCAGGGAACGCGACGATTGGGTGCGCCATCCCTTCAGAGTGAAGCAGGGCAACCTCGACGACAAGATATGGCATGGCGCCTTCGGCAGGGCGAGGCACGGAGCGCACTTCCCTCTGGTGGCTTTCACGCACAATACGTGCCGCAGGTCACCTGAAAGACTCGCCGCGAGGTTGGAACGCAGGAAGGGCGGCAGGAAGGGCGGCAAGAAGGGCGGCAAGAAGGGCAGCTACGCGGACACCGCAGTTGCGGGGAAGGGCGTCCGACCCCAGATGGGAACCGCAGTTGCGGGGAGAGACGCTGGGGCTGAGCGAGCTGGGAACACGCCACCGCCGCAAGCTGCCAACGGCGACGATGCGACCCCTTCTTGGGCCGCAGTGGCGGCTGGGTCCTGGGACGCCAGCGGCAGCGGCGCATGGGAGGCGCGCAGTCCCGCCACGAGATGGCAGGGCTGGTCCTGGTGGGACTGGAGCTCGAGCGAATGGGGCGCTGATGGCGCGCAGTGGTGGCCCTCTGATCATGCCGCAGTTGCGGACAATGCCCCTGAGGGCTCGCCTCCTCAGCGTGAAGTCGAGTGGGGCTCGAGCGGGCGACCTGCCGAGCGCCCTCCGTGGAGCTTCGAGGGGCAGCGTTGGTGATGGCCGCAGTTGCGGGCAAGTGGAACATGATGTTGATTGCCGCAGTTGCGGACAGTGCACGCTGGAAAAATCATCATCATCATCAATCATAATCATCATCATATCATCATATCATACGTTCAAAGCAGTGCCGGGGCACTGCTTTGAACGCGTTCAAAGCAGTGCCGGGGCACTGCTTTCGATCGTCGCCTCGTCGCAGTTATAAGGGCTATTGGATTACGCTGTCCAATCGCCAGCCTGGAGCATGTCCCCGTCCATGTGCTGGGCTTCGCCTCATCACGATGCCGATCTCCGGGGCTCCCTGCGTTTCTGAGGGCGCACCAGGATTGTCATCGCATGGTGGCGTGTCAATCTTCGGCATAGCGATAAGTTCGAGGCGGGTGACCCAACAGCAGTTGCTGCTCATTTTGAGCAGGACTCGCTGTCCGCGCCGCCGCGGACGTTGTTCGTCGAGGACAAAACCGCCTGCCCAGCAGCGGCCGCTGTCGGTTCTGGACTTGGACGTCGTTTGTTGCTGGGCAGTGTGCCCATGGTTTCCGCACCCACTTCGGGCGTCCAAACAGGACACTGCCACGGGGCTGCCTCGCTCTGCGGCAGGGCGCGAGCTGAGGGGTGCTTCAGCCATTCCGTGGACCGTTTTTTTTTCTGATCTCGCTCCACGACGAGGGCGGAACGAGCACGGAGCGAGGGAGAACGAGGACCCGACGGCAGCGGAGCATGCTGTTCAGCTCGCGCCCTACAGTCGGGGCCCTGAAGAAGGAACCCTTTTGGTTGGGGAGGGGCTCCGCGTTCCTTAAGTGTTTCGCAGCTTGCCTCAGGTTTTCCTTATGTCTTCGATCGGAAATCGAAGTTTAACTTATGGAAAAAAATGGCCTCGTTCCTCATTTTGGGTCCCTTAGGTCAAGGCCCCGACTGTACCTGGGCCGGGCTCCGTCGCCGAGGCCCGACGGCCGGCAGCGGCAGGGCACGGGCCCGCTCTCTGGGCCTGCCCCTGTGCTGCCCAGAAGGAGCGGGGTCGCGAGCGCAGGATGGGACAGCCGGACCTGGGTTGTCAGGTCGGGGTCGGTTCGAGGAGGGTGTCCTCGTATTCGAGCGTCTCCCATCCTCCCGTGCCGTCAAGCGGGGCGGCACGCTGTCAGCCTGCAGGGCACAGGGTGTCGCAGGGGCAGCCGGCCGCGACACGCTGCGCAACAGTTCCTGGTCGTAGCGATGACGCCGATCTGGGCTGCGCAGGAAGCCATAGGTCTGCGGCGAGCCTCTGGTCTCAGTAAAAGTCTCTGATGTGACACTTGCGCCGGGAGCCCGTCATTCCTAACTGCGCCTGCGGGTGCTACGGCTCACCACGCCCACCCCCCTCCGATGATTTCCACGCACGTCCTGATCTTCCAAAACATTCCTATGTACGCCTAGATTGTTCTAAACAGCATTGCCCCGCCTGCAACATGCATCAGCAATTTGTAGTTCTGCCATCCTCCTCCTCCTCCTCCTCTCCTCCTCCACTTCCTCCTCCTCCTCTTCCTCCTCCTTATCCTCCTCTTTCCCCTCACACTTTCCTCCCCTCGCCCCCTCCTCCCCCCCCCTTCTCCTTCCTCTTGCCAACTCCCCCCCTGGATCCTAAAAGTTTCCTTTGCCCCCCCGCCCCCGTGCAGCCCACACCCCTCCCTCACCTCGCCACGCTTCCAGCCCCTCCAGCGCCCAGCCCGCCAGGTTGATCTCGGACGAGGACCAGAGGACGATCTGCGACCGCATTTTCCTGCACGAGCAGACCATGGGTGCTCGGCCGCCCACTTTCTCGCGGCGGTGCTCGCAGTTGGGGACGGGTGAGGAGGAAGGGGAGAAAGAGGATGATGATGAGGAGGAGGATGGAGGGCTCCCGAGGTTCCAGGAAAAGGAGGAGGAGGCGGAGAAGCATGAGGAGGACTACGAGGACCAGGTTGACAAGGAATGCAGCACGGAGAAGAGAAGGGGGAGTGGGGGACGTGGAGGACATGGAGAATAATTAGGAGGAGCAGTGTGGGAAAGAGCGACGGGGGAAAGGAGGAGGAGGAGGAGGAGGAGGAGGAGCGGCTGCAGGATTCGCAACAGGGGACCAATAATGAAACGGATGAGGAGGAGGACCGGGATAATGAGGAGGATGACGAAGAGGATGAGGAGGATGAAAGAAAGGAGGATCAGGGGGAGGACGTGATCTGACAGGGACATCGTGGCATAGGGGAACAGGGGTGGGACAGATGGCGAGAAGGAGGAGGCAGATGAGGAGGAGGGTGGATGGATGAATGGATAGTGCTGGAGTGAGCCAGGACGCAAGGAGTAGTTTGCGAAGGACATGTGTAGGAGGACTTCTGGCAGGAGGAAGAGATGGAGAGATGGAGAGGGAGACGGATGACCATGTGTAGCAAGCCATACGAGAAGGAAGAGCAGGATAAGTGGGATGAGGATGCTGGATAATTTGCTTGTGTGGGGTTGCACAGCTTTGTTGTAGAGTGCCTCATTCCTGTGGAAGTTATGGCTGGAGATCCCGACGATGCGAGCCACGTGTTTTCACACATCAGACGCTCTTTGGGTAAACCGCGTCTGAGAAGCAAAGCATCAACGACCAAAGTAACAGGCGCCATGTGCACCACGTTCCGAACACAGGTTGCGGGCCTGACCGCAGAATCGTTTCTCCTGCGCAGGGAGGGTCTCGCAGGTTTGGCCATCCGACCCACTGGATTCATCCGACAGGTTCGAGAACTCTTTGTGAGTGCAAGAAGCGTTCTGCACCTCCGACACTCAAGCACTGCATCAGGCAATCGCTTCTCCCATTCCGCCGGCCCATGTTGCATCGTCGGTGGCATCCGCCCGCGTGCTCGCGGGGGGGGGGGGCTGAGAGAATGATGGGTGGCGTCGTTTCCCCCCGAGCTGCCGGGCGGGCCGGTGACCCGAAGGAGGGGACCTCCCAGAGGGTCGTGGGCTGACCTGTGGGCCGCCGCACTCGCACCGTGGGCCGCCCTGCTTGCCCTCGTGGGCCCCCGGGGTGTCTTGGATGCCGGCCGCCTGCTGTCCGTGCGCTGGCCGAGTCCGTGCGCAGCCCCCCGCCCCGCCGTCTCCGAGGATCCCTCCGGACCCTCCCTGGCCGCCCGCACATCGACGACGACGACGACGACGACGACGACGACGACGACGACGGCGACGGCGACGGCGACACCGACGACCGACGACCGACGACCGACGACCGACGACCGACGACCGACGACTGCCTCCGCGCGGCAGCCATGTGGGACCCCGAGACCGCGAGCAGCTACCAGCTGGTGTGCGCGAGCAGCGAGCTGCCGCAGGCGCGGCTCCGCCCCGCGCGCACCCCTCCCCCCCCCCCCCCGCGGCTCTGCGGACCGCCGGGCCCGCATGTCGGACGCAGCCATGGAGCAGCCTCTTCCTTCGCGTGTCCCGCCTTCCTCGGGTGCGTGTGGTGGGGGCTCATGCCAAGAGACACCCTGCTTGCCTCCAGGGTGTCCTGGGTGTCCTGGGTTTCGGGGTAGTTTTTCGATTGCAAGCGTGACGTTCCCACACAAACAAATGAATGGACGTCCTGGGGTCTCAGGGTGGGGTTTCTTGTGGAAGGTTTCTTGTGGACTAGCCTCCACTGTACACGCTATCAGTACGTCGCCACACCTCTCCCCCGACAGCGCGCGCGTGCTCCCATCTCTTGCGCGTCCTGTCTCGGCACGGAGAAGTCCATGGTCTTGCCTGCGCTGTTGGATCGGAGCGGTCTCGGCCCTTCACAACTGGTCTTCTTGCTGCAGCGATGGGCACCTGTCAGGATCGGTGCGTCGCTCCCGTCGTTCAGACTGGCGCTCTCGCCATCGCACATCACACGATGGGGGACACTTGGGGAACCAAGGTCCTCCAGGACACTCCACGGACACAAACGAAGCCAGCGTAATGGGAAGGGATGCGTGGGAGGGGTAGTCTGCCAGCTATATGCGGATGCACCCATCGTGTCCCCCCAACCCCCTCCTGGCTGCGGCTGCGGCTCGGGCTGCGATCGTGCTGCGGCTGCGCTGCGGCTCGGGCTGCCGCTCGGGCTGCGTCTCGGGATGGGGGTCGCGCTGCTCTGGCCCCGCTCCTCCACTTCGAGCACCCCGTGACAGGCCGAGGCGCCTCCTGCTCCTGTGGTCCGCTGGCCCGCCCTGCCCCCCTGACGTCGCCTCTCGCGGACGCCCCGCTCGCCCATGGGGCGCGAGGAGGGCGGGGGGGCCGGTGCTGGGCGCAGTGCGCGGTCGCAGCGAGGTTTGCCCCCAAAGGGTGTCTCGAGCGAGGCACCCGTGCGAGGCCCCCCCAGCTCTCGGGGACTGCGGGGACAGCGACGACGACGCCGCCGCCGACGCCGACGATCGAGCTCGAGTCATTTTCAGGGCCTCTGGAGGCCCCCTGCCTCCGCCTCCTCCTCCTCCTCCTCCTCCTCCTCCTCTTTCTCCCCCTCCTCCTCCTCCTCCTCCTCCTCCTCCTCCTCCTCCTCCTCCTCCTCCTCCTCCTCCTC